GAGGTATCCCACTTCAAAATCGGAATCCAGTTACCCAAGTTATGGAATCTAGAAGTTCAATTTTGGAGTCCCTTTCTGAGAGCCAATGAAAATACTGAAAAATCTAATATGAAAATGGGCTAAAATTTTGACCATCGTTTAAAAGAAATATTTGAATGCAGTATATTTGAAAATTCAATCACGAGCTCATAGAGGTATCCCACTTTAAGATCGGGATCCAGTTACCCAAGATGTGGAATCTAGAAGTTCAATTTTGGAGTCCCAATCTGAGAGCCATTGAAAATACTGAAAAATCGAACATGAAAATGGGTTAAAATTTTTACCCTTATTTAAAAGAATAATTTGAAAGTAGAACATCAGGGAATTTAACCACAAACTCATAGCGGTATCCCACATAAAAATCGGGAACCAATTACTCAAGTTATGAAATCTGGAAGACCAGTTTTGGGATCCCATACTGAGAGCCCTTAGAAATCCTTAAAAATAAAACATGAAAACAGGCCAAAATTTGGACCATCGTTTAAAATATATATTTAAATGTAGAATATATTGGAAATTCAATTTCAAACTCATAGAGGTATCCCACTTCAAAATCGGAATCCAGTTACCCAAGTTATGGAATCTAGAAGTTCAATTTTGGAGTCCCAATCTGAGAGCCATTGAAAATACTGAAAAATCGAACATGAAAATGGGTTAAAATTTTGACCCTTATTTAAAAGAATAATTTGAGTGTAGAACATCAGGGAATTTAACCACGAACTCTTAGAGGTATCCCACATAAAAATCGGGAGCCAATTACTCAAGTTATGAAATCTGGAAGTCCAGTTTTGGGATCCCATACTGAAAGCCCTCAGAAATCCGGAAAAATCAAACATGAAAACAGGCCAATAATTTGAATGTAGAATATCAGGGAATTTAACCACAAACTCATAGAGGTATCCCACATAAAAATCGGGATCCAATTTGGATCCCATACTGAAAGGTCTTAGATATCGGGAAAATGTAATATTTGAATGTAGAGTTTAAGGGAATTCAACTACATGCATATAGAGGTATCCCACTTCAAAATCGGGGTCCATTAACTCATGTTATGGAATCTGGAAAGGCAGTTTTGGGAACTCTTTCTGAAATCCATCAGAAATACGACCCCCTTTTAAAACATAAATTTAAATGTAGAATATTAAGAAATTCCACCACAAACTCTAGAGGTATGCCACTTCTAATTCGAGATTCAATTGCCCAAGTTACGAAATTCAGCAGTACATACACATATTCTTCATTGCAATTGACTTCAGCCCGAGTTCCTTTCGGTACATAGCATTATTCAAAATGATGGACTTAAGTAGCCGTTAAATTGAAGTGGGTAAGGGAAATAACAGAGCCAAAAAGGGGGAAGATAAATGTTTGCTTATGGCGGCGCGTGTGTTTGTGTGGCTTAAGTTTAATACGCCATTCAATCACTTTCTGCACCGCAACCCCGACCACCGGCAGCCTTATCCTGTCGATGTCCTTCTTTTTCAATATTGTCGTTTGCATTTGCAGGCGAAGAGAATCCAGAATCCAGAATCCAGAACCCAGAGAAACGAGCGCGTCATTATCCTTTCACGCAAACAAAAACGACGGACCTCATTCTCGCACTTCTTTGGCCGGATCCTGTATCCTGGATCCTGAAACCCGTATCCTGGCTAGCGACTCCTCATTTTAAGTCTTTTGTCTGGGCATTTATTTATTTATTTATTTATTGTCATGCTTGTTTATTGTTTCGCCTTTGATTGGCTTCGGCTTTGCTCTCTACTTGCTTTTCTGACCCCTGCTTCTCTACCCTCCTTATTGCAAAGGATATATGCATACGCTTTAACACGATGAAATTTATTAGATTTATGCCGAAGTGAGTGTCACTGAGAGATAAGTACTGTCTTGCTGTCAAAACAAAAAAGGACAAATTAGGGGAAATAATAAGAGATAATGCTCAGTGATTTCTGTCTGTGCTTCTCAGTATATTGAAGAAACAACTCCCAGTTAACTACAATACCTCGTTATGCGAGTCTGCTTTTTTGGGCTTTTCTCCGAAACATTTCCCCTTCTGCATTTTTCAAGGGATTCAGATTATTGACTTCTTAGATTTATGTCCTTATGCTCAAATGACTGTTTATTGTTATCCCATGCATACTTCTAAAAAGCTGACAAAGGACAAAAATCCCAAAAACCATCCCCAAGCAGCGAATCCAAAAATGATAATCAGGTAATAAATTTAAATTCAATCAAATAAATTCTTTTCAAGATGAAGCACTCCAAATTCAGTCTGAATACTTTTACTTTTGGTAATTATTTGCTGATTCCCCAGCCTGCACGAAACGCTTTTGAATACGAAACAAATATGAATTTATTTCCGGAAATCACATATTTCCGGTGAGCTCTTGACCGTTCGACGTGCTATTAATGAGCAGCACAATTAAATTTCACTCTCAAAATTACTCGAAAGGATGAACAATAATTTGGAACCCATACGCAAAGAAGACTTGTCGTTGCTCTTACCGCTTAATTGGATGAAAATTTATTAGTTGTGTTTTAGCATAACTCTTGTTTAAGCAGTCACTATAATAAATTGCGGAGTTTATTTTGGACGTCGGGCAGATTTATTTTATACTTTACCAAACTCATCAGATTATCTCTTTAAATTTCGGCTGTCCCACGTATACCCGTCATTCTCTATATATTAAATGGAATTTATGCAAAATTCGGATTGTAGCTACGTGAGCGGATGTGTGTGTTTGTGTGATGTCCTTTATTTTCCCATGGCATAATATAAAACATCCTGTTGTTGCCGCTCACATGCCTATTGTCATAAATAACCCGTTCTGAAGGTATGTTTGCGTTTGCGTTTGTCAATGTGTGAGCTCGTCTGGGTTGGTTTTTGTTCAACTTTGTGACTGGCTTAAATTTGTTGCGTTATTTGCGTCATTTCCGAAGCAAATCAAAAAAGGGGAAAACACGAATCCCAGACAATGTATAGCAAAAAAAAAATATTGAGTGGAGAAAAAGAGCGCCTATATGTGGGCGGGCTGTGTGTAAAGTGTGTGCTTAATCAGCCAATCAATTTCATATACATATTTTAACACTTGAATGCACTGGTAAAGAATTAAATTCCAATGCCGCTTGAGTTGAGCCCTCGGGGCACAACAAAATGCCTACCGAAACATTCCACAGAACACAATAAGCATTGAACTCACAATGCGAAATAGTTGGGCATTATATGATTATTCGGCAGGGCACTCGAATGAATATTTTATGCTTCAATTTTTAATTACACGAAATTAACCTTTTAATTATAAATATTTAAAAGTAATTTATGAACAATAATGGGAACGCGAATTCTTCAGATAAATGCGTAAAAAGTTATTTGAACGTTTGTACCTTCTCGTATGTGTTTTAATAGTTTACATATAATTTGGGTATTCTTTTAAGGGAAATTAATTTTTGGAATGGTTAAATGTTCCTTGAGAACGAATATTAGGAACAACAAGAACGCGAATCCTTCAACTAAATGCCACAAAAGAAAATTAAGTTGTTGGACTGTCGGAAATATTTAAGTTCTTCAGAGATGTTTGTGATAGTTTTAAGGCAAACTTATTTTAAAAGCTGTTAAATGTTCCTTGCCATCACCAACTTACTTAAGTGATTTCGGCTTCGGAAAATTGCCAGTCTTTCGCAGCAGGCTAATATACCTATAGAGATATTGGCTTCCTCCCATGTGAGTACTGAAAAAAGACGTTCCCATAAAGTCCCCCTGCTTAGTGGCGCTTCAGAGGGACCCTGTGGGAACTGCTAAAGTGCAGCCACTTAGTAGGGCTCCATAGTTGCAGCTGGCATCGCCTAAAACATCGAACGTTAACGTATTTATGGCTGCACTCAGCCTGACAGCCACCAAACTGCATGGCCATACGAAGTGGGTGGCGATGGCAGTTTAAGCCAACGTAACTTAAAAGGGACGTCTTAAATTTCCATCGCCATGGCGCTCCATTTGGGGCAATTATGTGCCGTTTCCTGACTTTGCAGCCCAACAAGGCGAAAATACATTTGTATTCAATGTTTTTTCATTCGTTTCGCTTCGTTTTTATTTTTACAATTTTCGTAACATTTCCGCCTTTTTGCATTCAATTTAATTTAACATAAACATTTATATGCTTATATTATTATCCAACGCACACGCAGGCAGCGCAGCTGCTGTTGTGCACTGTGCAGAAGGGTTTCATGCTTCAAGTGAGCATACGTAGCGTATACGTAATGTGCAATTTTGTAACGGACTGAAGGGGTTAATGCAGTTAAAGGGGTCCAAGGGGGCGAAAGGGGGGTGGGGCACCCCCGGGTTTATGAGGGGAAAAGTATTCACTATAAATTTTGTGTGCGCACCACTTGCAACAACAACGGGCGAACGAGGACGGGAACAACTGCAACAACAACTTAAATCTTAAGTAGCTCAACTTGTTTATTTATCGAAGCAGAAGTTAATGCGGCGGGGGGTGTGAGGGGGTGGTTGCATGCTGGTTGGATGGAAAAATGCAGCAATGAGTCAACTTATTGTTGCTGTCGCCCCAACATTATTTACAGCTGTAATTGCAGGTGCAACTCGTACTGGTGGCTTAAATATTTAAAGGGAACTCGTTATACAGAACATAAAATATAAAAATTAAATTGAAGAAAAAATGCTGGGGTTAGGCCATGCAAAATAATATATTATTATATAGCAAAAGAAGGAAAACATATAAAAATACGAGAGAAAAACTCAAACGAAACTTTATCAAAACAAATTATGAGCACCCGGACATATAAAACCGCATGCGATAGCACATTCAAGATAGATACAAGCTGATATAGATACAGGCGACATGATGTGGCCAACCCATATAACCCCTGGGAATGGGAACGGGAATAAAAGGATGGGGAGCTGCAGCATCAGAAGCAGTGCTTTTAATTTTCCAAACACGTGCGAGCGGCGTAAACAACAAAACAAGTCCGACATATCAGAGGACAAATAAGCTGAATTTGTTTTGACATCCCTCCTCTTTTGCTGTGGTCTTTATTATGCCCAGTGCTCACCAGCAGCAGAAGTTGATTGTCTCTCTCTATATAAGGGGAAAAGATTTAAAAATATTTCATAAATAGCTGTGCAAGGCTGAATAAAACTATAATGACTTTCTATAGGGTGTCTTCAAGTTGGTACAGCTATCTCCCCCCTTTACTGTCTGCATGCTTAGTTTTAAAGTTTTGACACGCTTCACTTTAATGCAATTATTAGGGGAACAGCATCACAGAAGTTTCCCCATCTTGCGTGCTATGAAAGTCCTTAGCCGATAGACTCCATATTGCAGGACTGACAGGAAGACCGTCGCCAAAGTTATCATTGACACCGTGACTAGCACCTTCTTCGGGTTTTCAAAGTCCAGAAATGTATAGATAAAGGAATTCCCGTTGCTGAAATATATAATTAAATTAATATTTCCCAAAGGGAGTGGGTAAAATTCAAATACTAGTTAAGACCTCCCAGTTCATAGTATATTAAGGCGAATAGTCCATATGAATAACCAAATACCATTGGATAGACGAAATGCAGCAGACGGGCTGGCTGCGCCACTATGATATGATCGATGGTGAAGAAAATCGGCGGCAGAAGGTGTATAAATATGTTATAGAAATCGGAGACTCGCGTCGGGTTAGTAAGCACGCGATCGTCGGGATATATGGCTGCCCAATAGGTAATTGCGATCAAACATTCCATTATTATAGTGGTCCAATAAAAGGCCCAATAAGTCTTGATCACGCACCTGGGGGGAACTAAGTGAGATAGGAGTTTAAGATTGTAAAACTATTAAACACTGATTAAAAATGAGTAAACGCAATAACAGCCTTACCCCATGTTTCCGGTTTGCAGTGATATATGGTCACAAGTACGGCTCCTGTTATGCTGGTGATGCCGCACATAATAAATGCCCAGTTGGTCAGGTAGATAAAAACAGTTCCGTTCCTGTAGTATTGAATAACATAATTGACCAATCCGACGTTAAAGAATCCGCCCAGAAGCCATCGATAGGCCAAGAAAATAGAAGACTTTGGTTTTGATTGCCACTAAAAATAAAATATTAATATAACAACTCGATCGGAAAGTGTAGAAAACCAACTTGAGATCGTAAAAAATCGGAAGGATTGGAATGACCTAGCCCGAATCTGCGGGAGCGGAACTCTTCCCTCAGACTTAAGGGTTCCTGAAGATAGCCTTTCGATGACGATTCTGGCTCTGTACCACCGAACATACGATACATTTATAAAAATAATTTGTGTATTATACACCAAATCAGCTGGATATCAACAGAGAAATGACTGTTAGTTCAAGGCATTTATGCGACCCGAGTTTCCGGCGGCAATTAACCCATGGCGTATTCCCCTGGACTTCTTATCTCGCAGAACACGCGGCCTGCCCTGCATAATTAACAGATATATCCGATTCAGTCGGGGACCCCGGTGCGTGCGATTCAGGGGGTTTCTCCGGTTCGGGGGATCCCCTCACCTCTCGTTTTACGCAAATTACGACATGTGGCTGACATCATTTTCCTTCCTCAGCCATTCAAAGATTACGGCGGGTGAAGGCAGGACGAAAAAGGAGGGGACAGGATGTCGTTTTGAGCCAAGCAGACACTTTTAATTGAGAGACACTTGGCTGAGCTGTAGCGTGCAATTAAAATGCCATTACATGTGAAAATAAAGCAGCAGCCTGCACAGTGTGATGAAAGACCTCAAAAACGTTTTATTTAAAATATTTAAAAAAAAATGTTTTTTTAACATGTTTGTGAACAATAACAAAAAAATTATAAAATATATAAACATCAAACTAATCGACCAAAATTAATCAACATATCTTTTTTAAATTCAAAATAGAACCTACACAAAAATATTTTGTGGTAACGTGAGCTTATTAAACTAAAAGTCTTATATAAAAATAAGTTACCTAAATTAAGTACGAATACTTTATTGAGAGTAGTAACTATTATATATAACAATAATTTGATTTTTATAAAAGAAGACATATTTTACCACAGTGCCGCTTTGCATAGTAAATTACGAGGCAAGGATTTGAGATTCCTTCCAGCTTTCGGCGGTGATGTAGACCCCTGGGAGTTTCTTCTGTGTGGGGAAAGGAGTGTTTGTCTGGGAGTCTAAGTAGTTAACACCCCTGGGGTTTTCTTGAGGAGAAATCCGTTTTCCGTCGTCCAGACACTTTTCTACATTGCTTCGTCAAACTAGTGTTTGCCTATCTTGTACAAATCACATCGAGAGATTCATATACTCGTATATATTTGCAATACACATATAAGGACCTTGCCCACCTTGCGGCCATTTAATATGCAAATTTTGTTTGCAACGTTCACTCGGTTGAATTTCCCAGAAAGTTCTCATTCAGTTCGTCAATTTGTCTGTTGTGATTTTATTTTCCTAGTTCTCTTTTTCCAATTGATTAGCTGATTTCCACATCAATCGAAAAAGATATTTTATGATGTGAGGACAGGAAATTGTTTTGAAAGGATTGCAATGCTCAATGGATTTCGGATCAAAGACAGGATAGGATAATTATTGTGAAAATTATTCCGATTGCTTGAACTTTTAAGACTTTTAACAAAATACGTTAAATCCGAAAATGTCTTTCCATTAAACATATAATTTTATTGACTTACAAATATGTTTAACAAGCAATGTTTGTATGTTTTAAGTACCTGAATGTAACAACAGTGAGTTATTTACTATCGCTGTCGACACCATGAGCTTTTGGTTGGAAAAAGTATGCAGATTGTGATCGGAGCATTCCTCAAAGTCAAACTGGGCAAGTGAGGGCTCAATTGAGCTCTGCATGAGCTTGGGGGAAAATTAAATTTCCAAACGGCAGGCCCATTGGCGTGCCCTACTTTCTTCGCCCAAGGAAGTCAACTCTTTGGCACTTTGCCATCAAGTTGCGCTTTAAAAGTGCGTGCCAGCAGGGTGGTTCGGGGCAGCAGGGTGTTGGCAGGGTGTCGGTGTCAAGGGTTAAGTGTTTTAAAGTGAGCCGCCATTCAGGCCATTTCTATGTTATCGCAATTTACCAACCACTCCTGCGCCCCAGGAGGCGATACCTCACGTGTCATTATCTTAATTTAAGGCAGTCCTTGCCCCGAGCCCTCCTCACCACCCCGTTGATAGAGCTTCTTTCAGCTCCCATATCTCTTACTTGAATACACAATTATGTGGCATGGGCGTGTGCCAGCGATGGAGCTTCGCATGTGGGGTGGCTTAAAATTAAATTTCTCATGCTTAGAGACCGAGGACCTGTGCCGTTGCTCATTATTATATAGTCACGTGGCAGGGGCTGGAAGACGAATACGAGTACGGACACGGTCTGTGGCTCGTTACTGCGCGGCTATATCACGACTTGAGATTCGTCGAGGGCCCTCCCAGTTCTAGAGCATCACTCAAGCTGGGTAAACTAACTATGTGATAAAGAGCACAAAAGCGAAAGGGGTGCAAAAAATCCTCAGAGAGAAATGAACTTGCAAAAAGGTAACTCACTGCGATCTCAAAAAATACTAATAGGGGTATATTCTTTATAAAAATAGTTTCAATACCCTGAAATCAACTAAAGAACAAAGAATCCCTAAAATATTATAATATAATTATAGAAAATTACAAAAGATCACAAACTTTTCACGTTTTTCATGGTTTTTTCCATAAAAAAAATATTTTTATACTCAAGTTTAGGTAAGTTAAAATACAAGTTAAAGGGTATCTTTCACTTCCTTACGTGATCTAAAAAAACCATAAGGAGTAGGTTCTATATAAGATCATGTTTTAAGTTCAAAGGAGCATAAAAGGGCATGTATGATATCGTTCTTAAAAATTCTCTATATACCCCAGGCTCACAAAAGATAAGGGGTATCCTCCACTTCCTTATGCCTGATGTCTGCAAGTTTTTTGCTTTGTTTTGATGTTATTAGACTCTTGGGAATAGCACATGCAATTTGCAATCTTTCCTTCTTGCCACCACAGTTCGTATATATTTAGTGTGTAAATCAAATGAGCATATAAGCATTTATATACACTTGGCCAGGGAGTACGGATAACTTGTTTTTGTGTGGGTGGCATAATGAGGACGGCAGCCGATGCTTATATAGCTCTTCTATAAAATAATATCAACTTGTTATTGCTTTTGAATTTAAAATGTTGTGCATTTTGCCAGAGAAATCAACAAAAGTGTCACAACTTATGTGTCACGTTCGTGTTAACCTAAATACAAAGCTGTATAAATATATGCATTCCTGTGAAAAACATAATATAATTTTGCATTGATAATCTGCGTGCTTTTTATATGACAAATGTTTTCCTTGTTCATAAAAAACACTTTTATTTTTTATTTTCAAATGGTGAAAAGTCCCGTCGATATGCAGCAAAAAATTCACCTTCAATTAAAAAAGTATATATAGCTTTATAACTATTGAAATAATTTGAAGTGGAAAAACCCGCAATAATAAGCTAATTTAATTTTTCTGGAGTGAATATGTATATATATGAATTCTCTTTAAACTTTAATACACAATTTTTCAGCGCTTAATATTTCTTTAACTGAACTTGTTGATTTTCAAAGAAATTCATTTAAAAGCTCCGAAATTTAATTATTACCCAAGAAAGCGTAAACACAACACGCCAACTTGGCAATGCTCTTTTCTGGGCCTCTGCGGAAATCAATGCATGCCCAATGCATCTGAATCCGAATCTGAATGCATATTGGAAATGTGCATAAATGCTGGCAGGGTCGGAGTGAGGAGGGGTTGAGAGGGGGTGGTGACAATGCCGTCTGCTCGGTATTTATGCAACTCGCACACCCACAATCAATTATGCAATATGAAAAGCCAAGGCTTGTCCGAGGAAAACGAAAAATCGAAAAGCATTTGCGGCAATTTCTCAATTCGAAGTGAAGGCAGCTGGCAGGGAGGGGGTTGGTGGTCGGCCCAGAGGCGTCGAAAGGGGGCTTTCGAGGGGCAGGGTCTGTCAGGGCAGACGGCATCGTAACCGGACCCCCGGGCTACATGGACGTCTGCATTGCGCCATGCAAACTCGAGCTGCGGCAGCAACAACTCATTTTTTCCATTTTGTATTATTGACAAAGAGGGGACGACTGTCGACTGCCGATTTTCATTGAATATTTTTCGGCCTCGAAACGAGGGCCTGGAGAGGCCTTTTGGAGTCAGGGCTTCCAGACTGAGTCGGGAGTTTGTGCCGGGGGCTAGCAAACAGTTTGCACCACCAACAATGCTCGAGACTCTCCAGCTCGACATTCTGCTGACCTCAATATTTGTTCAACTTTTCAGCAACAATTTTGCTATGCGATTTTGGCCCCCTCAACCCACTGGCTGTCATAAATGCCTGCAGTTTTGGCAGTTTGTGCAGTGAAAGTGATTTTCGGATGGGTTCAGTTGGTTTATTGCTTTGATTTGCTGCTGCTAAACTTCTGGGGCTGTGGCTGTGGGTGTGGGTGTGGCGTTTTGGCCAGCAATCAGTGCCGGCAAATCAAATTTCATGCCTCAAACAAGGATCCACTGGCTGAGCTAAAGGAACATAGCCAGGTTAAAGAAAGGGCTGCCAACTCCCAGGGTTCCCTGGCCACGGGGACTCACCCATATTCGGGCCAGGAGGCGGCACACCAGGAGCCCCTGGCACACGGGGCCCACACACAGGATCGCAAGGAGGCGCAGGCCGTGGGCGTGGCTGGTGGCCAGGACCAGCTGGCAAATGGCCGAGGAGAAACAGACGAACATCACGAAGTTGGACACCAGCACCAAAGTGCTAATGAAGGCCAACTTGCAGCGCTGCCGGGAAATATAAGGAGTTTGACCACCACAAAGACACAAAGAGCAATCACTTCTTACGGGCACCAGGAGAGCCAAATTAAACGGCAACAGCAGGGCCAGATGATGCCTGAAAAGGACCTCAAAGAACTGCCAGCTGGATGACCTGAGGACCTCGTGCCAACTCTGATGGGATCCCGAAGGCACGTTCTCTTCATATACCAGAGGTACATAGTAGAAGGTGTTCACCGGTCCATCGGAGTTAATAGAAGCTGTCCAGGGAAAATTGTTGGAGGTTATTGGATCAGGATATAGTGATTGTAACCCACCCTGAGCTAGGTGCTTGAACATATTGATCACATAGTACAGCAGAAAGTTGTGCAGGATGAGCAGCAGGGCGTCCTTCTTCAATGGATGTATGGATCGCTTTTAAAAACATACATTTTCGATTAATATCCTAGATATATTGCACATATCATAGCTTACAAAAATCAGGAAAATCTGGTAAAGAAATATAATGCACGTCACTATAAGTTCATGCACATCGGCCATTGTAACTAACTCTCCTACAAATTGTTAGTAATTTAGAATAGATGTACCGAAACTGAATGTTCAATTGATAGACAATTAGGTCGTGGATATCTTAGAAATTATACAACAAAATATAAAATTGGAAATGAAAATAAATAAGTGCCCTTGGTTGCCCAGGACCATATTGAATAAATATGTTTGCCCGAAGTCAAAGGTAAATTACACTATTACTGCTTGAATTAATTCAAAATGGCTTGGCCAGTTTCCAGATAACCCTAAATTGTTTCCCTTTTATTTACAGTATCTGTATGGGAAAGGCAATGCCATTCATCAAGATGCAAGAACAACTTCACCAAAGGGGTCACCTCAATTATTATGCTTATAATTAAGAGTATCCGGCCGCAGGTATTCTCAGCCAGCTCATATCCTAATGGCTTACAATTACCAATTAACAGATTATTGCATTGACCGAAGTGCTTGATGAAGATGCAGGTCAGAGTGGCCGATGCCGAAGCCTTCCATAGTCGGAGCAAAACAAAATAATTTAATTTAAATTTCCAGCATGTGCAAATAATGTAAAACATTTCTGCACATTTTAAGTGCTGCTGCAAATTGACTGTCAGTCAGGCAAAGCGGCCACAAACATCAGAAACTGCAGCGACAACGACAACAACTTTCGAACAACTACAGCCACAGGAATAAGAGTTGCGAAAACAACGACCACACAATGGCAACTGCAAGAGAATTTTCGCATATTATGCAAACAATAAACATTGTTAATTAATTTACTTCAACTCGAACGAGAACTGCACTTTGGCTTTGGCTCACTCCAGCGAAACGGATGACTTTAAGCTTCTCTGTGTGGATGATTTGCATAAGGAAGTATTCCCAATTTTCCACCATTTTGAAAAATTAAGAAAATTAAAGATCAAAATTTAAAGACCACATAAAATAACTGGGAACATGCATGTCTATAAATATTTCAAAAAATGTATTGACAAGTTGAAAGTTTTCCCGCCATTTATTGAATACTTAAAATAAATTCCAGAACTTAAAATTCTTTAAAAATACCTGGGAACACGGCTATCGGTAAATACTTCATGTAAAATATATTTACCATACCAAAACCCCGTTGCAATGCAAACGAAATTAATTTGCAGAACAACTACCGGGGCTCTCATGGAATTCACTTAATAACGCTTATATGATATGGCGCTTACTTCGGGCTTTTGATAACTTGTGGCATATTTCAGGAGCACTGACTATAATAATGCCTCATGCAAGCGGTATCATTATAAATAATGACTCTGATTAAATATGATGTAATCCTTTGCCAGGGCTGCCATTTCGGGAATTTTTTTTTTAAATGCTGCAAACTTAATTAAACATTAATCATAGGCGGCTGGCGGGGAGAAATCGGGTTGAAGGATGAGATAAGGCGATTGGAGGATGGAACAGACAAGTGCATTAATTAACGGTCCGCTGTCCCTGGTAACTGACCATAAAGGATTTGCGTTATTAATTGAACGCTTTTCGGATCAATATTCTACAGTTCTGGCTGGGAACTGCGAACTTTCAGGCCGCACCATCTACCTTACATTATTTTCAGTAATTTGTTCGTTTTGGGCCATTTAGGAATAACTGTCACGTACGTCTGGCATGCCCACACTTACCATTTCATCAAAGGAAATCGAGCTTGAATTGATTTTGCACACATCTGCCTCCTCCGTACCAAAAAATACACCTTGGCCTGGCCCTAATGTGTGTCATTTGGCCGGCAGTTATCTTAGGGCCAAATGCACAAAGGGGCGGTAATTTTCTGAACTTTTCCTTTTTGCCAAAAAAACAAAAGGCCCCAAGCTTTTTTTTGGATTTCCTTTCTTGTTAGCTAAGTGAATTTTTATTTGCCATAGCTTTTAGTAAATGTCCATTAAATTTATTCGATTGGCAGACTTTATTTAGGGGTATATGTTTAATTTTATTCGGTTTTTAGCATTAGCTTTTTATATTTTTTAATGCACATTTAAGATGGTCTGAGATTTATATTAAATTTGTCACCAAACTGAATTTAAAAATTCCCTAAAAGCATAGAAGGGTCTATAGAATTTCTGCTTGAAATCCTTTTCTTTTTTACCATCTAAGAAATGGTAATTGTACCTTATAATCTCACTGGTGGGTGAATTAAATTTAAATTGACCTACAACCAGGTCCAAAAATTCAAAAAAAATATGGGAGGACTACATATAATTTCCGCTGGGAGGTCGCGTTGAAATACACATATCAGCTCCATCTTCAATCAGCGGGAGCAACAAGTTACAACCGAAAACCAACCCAAGGACTCCAACTCGATCCGTGCATTCATTTCAATTTCACTCGCAACAGCACTGAAAAAACCAGCGAAAACTGAGACTCATTTACACATTTATGTGGGAAAACGTCAACTCCTGAGTAATTTATGCACACAACGGCATTTAAATGCCTTTATTTCCTCCTTTTTCGAAACAAGGCCGCTCCAGTTCGTCAGTGTTTCGGGTTCACTTTCATTTTTCACTGCGCAATGTCCCTCTGAGTAAGAGAAATGAGCTGTAATGGGTGCCAAAAGCCAACGACAGGGAAAAGGAGACAGGAGGCCACCAGACAATTTATGCGAGCTTGGGGAATTGTTTCGAAAATTGACAAATTATGGTCGTAAGTGCTGCGATTAGTCCGCTCCCTTTGCTTGTTATTTTCGCCAACTGTCCCAAGGTTGTCTCCCCAAAACCGCAGAAATATGCATTACACATACATATTTAGAGATACAGAAACGGGGTTAAGCATCCGCTGCGTGTTATTAATAATTCAATTTAGCCGTCTCACAACAGGCGCCGGGTCAGAGAACTCCGAGAAAGCTTCGAACACGCAATGCGATACCTTCGACTCCAATATTCCGAGGAAACCCCATTACCATTTAGCAGTTGCCCGTTCCACTTACATTTCCACGGCGGTTTGCTCATTATCTATTCATGCAAGTTAAGTGCGAAAGCTCATATAGGGGAATAACAAATGGAATTTTGTCCACGAGCTGGTACAATTGCATAAACAGTTACACGTGTTAGGCCAAGCCGAGAAAACCCAGTTTTACTCACGTTTCTAAGTAGTATCAGTTCTATCAAAAACTTAAATTTCTCCTTTTAGAAAAATACTGTACATATGTATACGAAAAAAAAACTAAAATTCTCTAAGATAACTTAATTATACACCAAGGTATTCATCCTATTTGTATTTTATTTTGCCTAAATATATAAGGTAGGCACATCATTATTCACAAAATTAAAGCTTAGGTACATTTTTGTAAGGATTTTTATATTTGCAGTATAATATAATTTCGGCAATATCTATATTCAACACGTTAGCTAAGATGCTCTCCCCAAAAGAAATATTCAACAAGGGTTTGCATTTTAATTTTTGTATATGCCAAAATGTTTTTCTTTATTTCGAAAACGACGACGCTCTTACTTTCGAATGCAAAAACCACAATTTACAGACCGAAAAGTTGCATGAATATGTAAAGCGTACGGAACTTGGACTCTGATGGATATTGGGACTCGCTTCCACCCACTTTGGATATTAACAGCGTTTGCAGACGCGACGGCGCTTGTGGCGTTCGTTATGAGTGACCTTGCAGGCCTGTAGAAAAAGCAGAGATATGAAATTGTATTAAAGGAACCTTATAAAATAGATTACCATGCGGCGGTAGCGGTCCTTCTTCTCCTCGGGGAGCTTGATCCAGGCCTTGGCGGCCTCCGAGATCAGTTCCTGGGGCTTCAGGCCGCAGTGCTTCTTGCGGAAGGAGCGCACAAAGTTGAGGTAGCCATTATTGGTCACAGGACCGGGCTTACTGCACTTTGGCCTGGCTCCACACCTATTTTGCCGTTTGGGGCAAGCCGGCTTTCTGGGCTTCGCACAAGCCGATCTCCTGGGCTTGGAACAAGCCGACTTCTTCCTTGGCTTGGCACAGGACTTCCTGGGCTTGGGACAGGACCTCATCGGCTTGGCACAGGACTTCTCCGGCGGGGCACAGGAGTTCCTGGACCTGCGCTGCTTGCCCATGGGATGGTTGCACATCTCATTGGATCTCTGGGGGTCCTCGCCATCAACATACATGGCATTGTCCTCGCAGGCGTTATCCATATCACGGTAGCTATTCTTCTCCTTCTGGCTCATTTTTTTCCAGCCCCTGGCACTCTCCTCGGCGAAATCCATCCAACTCATGGAGTTAGTTTGCTTACGGAGTTGACGCATATAGTTCAGAAATCCATTGGTCGCCCAAGATCCCACACTCATGCTCTCGCTTTCCATTGCTTCGTTTGTCATCTTGAGGGTCAAATTCGTTCAGAGTATCAAAAATAGGTTCGTATAAAGACCTGGAAAATTATAGAAATTTTCACGAAACCTGGGAGGATTTAGGAAACATTTCAAAAATTAGAAAAATATTTAACTGTTAAGGATTAAATTGTGAAAAATATTTAACCAGAGGTTAGGTAACGATCAAATTGCTTCATAAAAATGCCTATCAAATTATGGAAAACTTCCCCAAATCTGATACATATAACATACATTTTAAAAATAAAAATAACTAACCAGTGGTTAATATAGGATTAAATTGTGGCTTCCCTCTAACTGCCTAGTTGTGTGCGATGTCCACTATTATTTGCGATAAAATTAGTTTGTCCTGCCTGATGCACCGAGTGCCGTCCCCAGAAGCCGCAGAGTTGTGTCCTGTCGAAAAGTCACTTAATCAGCGAGGAACGAGTAACCCTGGCCCGAAGCTGAAACCGGACGGAACCAGAAGTGGAGCCTCATCTCATCTCCACCCAGAAGTCCGTAGACCTGAACTGCAGCCGACAGGCGGTTGCAACTGCAACAAAGCCCATAATTAATATCACTTTACAGTTGCAAACTGCCGCACGACAGCCGACAGTTTAGTCACCATGTGTGGGGCACATGGAAGTGGAAGTGTCGGTTGTTGCCCAAGACCTAGTGGGTATGGTATTAAGAACTGTTTATTTAATTGTCGGGCAAAGTTCCATGTCTCTTATGGTTTTGTTGTGCAAATTAGTCAGCCCAAGTAGATGGGCAAGGGTATGTAATTAATCTGGAAAAATCGGCATTACTTTGTGGTTATCTCTAAGCGTTTGGATAACAAAGGTCTAATTACTGTGCGAGTCTTTTTATTTTACTTTAAAAGGTGTACAGTAACCAAACTTTAATTTATTTAAGTCAACCCATTTTAGTGAAGAAATTATTCAAAGTAGATCTTTTTCCGTTTATAAATCGAGTTTAAAGCTGAGTTACCCATAATCCATTCAATATTATCTCTTTTACTAATGGTCGCCAGAATCTTCTAGTCGACTCCCAGTTGAAATTCTGTGCCCCAAAAATATTAATTCGAAATATTAATTTGAAATATTAATTCGGAATCGTAATGGATATGCATAAATTCTAATTTATAACCAGCTGTGCCATTGGACTGTCTGCAGAGGTCCTTACTTATGTACTCCCCGAACCACCACAGTATGACCCCTTTATAGATGCCTCATTTGTGGCGAGTTATGCTGCTGCTGTTGGCTTTGCATGCAAACTTCAAATTCATCTTGTGGTTAAATATGAGAGGACAGGAGGAATTATGTGGAATATTAAATGCCATTATTCGCAGGCTCTCCAGAGCTTATCTTTAAACTAGAAATACTTTTCTTTCCCGAGCTCTTCATATTGAATCAGGTTAAACCATTTTGATTAAGTGCTAAAATGGCAAAATGGCAAAATGGCCATAAAGGCCGAAGGGAAGCAGGTGAAACTAAGTAAGGATCGACAGGAGCCGAGGGCGTCGAGTGATTATCATTAGCCGGCAGAGTAGTTGCCATTTAGCACGCACAACGAGATGCACGACAGCAACATCAGCAGCAGCAGCAGTTGCAGTTGCAACAATGTTTGAGTAATTGTTTGCCGTTGCAGCAGCAGCAAGAGGCAACAGCAGCAACTGCAGATGCAACAAAATTTGCATGCAAACAGAAGGGGCTACTGCCCCACTTGACCCCCCCTGCTGACCCCTCTGGCTGCACACGTAACTGAACGGTGGCAACAACTGCAGCAGTAATTGCAACAAACAATTAGCGTCACTTGGATTTATGTTTACGAGCGGCTGCCTCGACATTTTCGGCCACAATGACAGTGCCCCCGTGTCTGCTGCCCCTTTATGGTTGTCATCGGGCCAAAAAGTTGATCAATCAGGACATGTAATTTATTTACGAAAGAATCTAGAGTGCCTCTCCGGATTAACTCCGGAGATCTTTCCTCCTTCAAGCCCCCGCGCACTATGATTTATGTAATTGCCCGTTGCTTGTAGCCGAGTGTAGTGCAGCATGTAAATGACGTCATTACAAGGCGTGGGGCGTGGCTAGGTGGTCTCCTGTCGACGGGCTGCCCCCGGCATTAGTTTAAAGTCAGATAGGAGGGCCCGGCCACAGCCATCCGACATCTAGACAAACACGCGGGCCGCCAAAATGGGCGTGGCCGGCGAGTTTCCGTTCCGACTTGCAACACTTTTGTGCAACACGCCCCACAACCTCGCATTCGACATTGACTTACTGCGCGAGTAGTATATCCTTGCCTTAAAATTGTTTACTTGAAATTTAAATTTATTGAAATTTAGGAGCTAAAGGTTTCACTTTCTTATAACTGCCCTTTTTGGACTACAAAATTTTTACACAGAAATTTAAATGTGTTTCAATACACCAAGTCACAAATGACAAATAGGTCAAGGCACATTACGATATAAAAAGGACCACCGACAATATTGACTTGATAAGGAACGATGCCAATTCAACGAAGTCGACGAGCAAGAATATTTATAAGCAACTTAAAAACGAAAAGCGCTGTAGTCGTTAAAAAAATTATACAAATAATGTTTCATTCGGTTCCGGCCTAAAACGTTTATCCGAATTCTTTTCGAAAAATTGTACATGTTTTGTTTCAATTTCACTCACCTCTTGTCGTCGTTATTTTATAAAAGCAAATCTTTTTTTCACTGGATATTTGGAAAAGATAACTGAAAATACCAATACCAATTTTACTGTGAGTTTTGGATGCGAACTGTTTGTGAGCTACACCAAGTTACTACTGAAGTTCTAACGAGCTGGGATGGCAGATCAAGGCAATACTACTAAACCCATGCCAACTAGATGTAGCAAATTTAGATTTGATCGAAAGGGCGCCGGCGGATACGAATCCTGGGAAACATCCTGCTGTTTCTTGGGTCCGCCCCCGTGTTTCCTCGTGCTTAGTTTTCCTCCGAGGCGGCATAAATTATGTGAAACAATTTTTATTCCCACTACTCGTTTGCGGTTTATTAAAATTTTGTAGCCGCCGGGCAAAGGAATTTTCGGGGTGAAACGGCTTGGGGATTCCGATTGTTTGGACATGTGTGAGGTTTTCTATTATCTGTAAAATGTTATGATTTATTATGTGCGGGTTCAAGTTGATGGTGTGGCCATAAATTGCGACCCTTTTGCAGTTTGTGCCTTTAACGCTGCTTCATCTTTGGTCTCTGCCTTCGCCAGCAGCAGTTAAGTCAATTAATTGGCCCTAGATTTATTAGTTTTTACCCCTCTCGCCTTTAGCATAGGTGCCGTGATTTATAGTTTCCGGGAATGCGAAAACAACAAAGGAAAATTCCCCGACTTTGACTTTGGCACGCACGCAGGATGAGTAGGCCAAGTCCAGGTGACAGAGGGGCTTCCGCCGCGGCATTTGCATATAAATAGATATGTCAGCTAAAATATGAACCATATGAGCCGGTCCTATATGGCCTATACTTTGTTCCAGTTTGCCCGCGGCGAAAATGCCTCCGTTGCGTGTCGTTGCGATAAACACGAATTTCAAGTTCTCCGCTCGGACATTTTCCATTAAATTAGCCTTAGTGTCAGGTTCTGACACCAAAACTGATGTGCCGAGGGCGGGTAAGACACTCATTGTCGCCTAATGGTATGGCACTGAATTATTAACTGGGTCATACAAATAAAAAGTATCAGTATCCGAATCTTGGGAAACAAACTGTCAAAACTCTGGCATTAAGCTTTCAAGAATAACACGAAGGCTCGGGGTATTTGGAGTAAGAAATAGAACATTTTGTAGTCTCCAGGGGATCTAAAAATAATTTTATTAATTATTAATTAATTTGGGCATTCACAAATAACTTCAAGGCTAAAGGGCAATTATAAAATAATAAAAAAAAAACTTTAAAAAAAAATTTTCCAATTTCAATTGGGAACGTAAAATCAATTCTAATCTGAAGCAATATTTTCTTTACAAGCCCTTTATACTCTATAATAATAATCTAAATAAATAATAATCTAATAAAATAAGCAACTATCAAACATTCAAAAGAATCTTCCCAATAATGAATGATAATCTAGATCGATACTAGTTTTAGTTAACAATGTTTCTTCCTGGTAACTTATAATTTTTTTCTTTTTTGTTATTGTTGGATCGATTGTAATATCCTTTTAAAAGTATGCTTAAAATAAAAAAAAATTATAAAATTTAGCAAACTAAATAATGTTTTTTAATATTGTTTATTTATATAAAGAAACCCACATTCAATAGTAGATATTCCAAAGTAAATTTTACCTGACGAGTTCTGATTATTTCTCATACTTTCCCCCTCAGAAAATTCCTTTTTATAAGTTTGCTTTAAATAAGAACTCTGTAATCCCATCCACATGGCAATGCAAATACTCCCCACCGAAGCTGCAAAAGGCGAAGAAAGGAAGACGAATTGAATTCCTTACCAGTCTTGTTGACAAATTCGGCTGTAGGCCAAGTCCTGCACTCAAGTGCAAGGAGTCGCATATGTGAGTGTTGGCAATGGCACCCCGATTATCATCGCTGCCAGATCCCGGCTTCCTATTTTCCCGTCAGCCCATCCGAACTCACCCGCTTTCCATCATCGGGCCACCGGTGTAATAACTTAAAATCCCATAATAAAGCTACTTACTGCCTTCCTCGTTGGCGATGTCCTCGTTGCCCTAACAATAACTATTTTTCTTTGGATTTGGCTTTGGCCTGGGACCTGGTAACTGGTAACTGGTAACCGGGATGTGGCTCGAATTGAGTTCCAGAGGCTTTCTGCCACCGCAAATGTGCAAGTCAAGTGCATACGTCACTGGTTCCATTCAGCATTCGGCAGAGCCATACCTAAGGTCTAAGTGCACGGCATCCATTTTGGTTTGATTTTATTCTTTTGGTTGCTCCACTCTTGTTAGTTACTTTTCTGTCTATAAAAAATATCCTGCCAAGCGACTGGATTAAGATTGAATTTTTCTTGGTTTTTGGTTTTTTTACCTCATTTTTTATTTTTATCAGTTTCCTCTGCTGAAGCAGAAATTTTTATCTGGTCTTCGTCAGGTGAAGAGTCGCTTAGATATCCCACACAAAAGGCTGCTAAAAATATTTTCATGTTGAAATAGAAATATTTCTCCATTGAAAATGGAAACGTTTTTGCCATTGTGTTTGCCCCTGTGTATGTGTGTGTATGCAACCGGATGTTGTACAGTTATTGGAATGTCTCTTCATTTCCACCACCCGTTCTCAAGTATCCCTAGAAACGACATCGACAATGGACTATTAGTTGGCATTTTTCTAGTATTTTTGTCGTCCTCGTCCTGCTCGTCGTCGACAGGAAATGGTAAACTGATTTCTCTTATTAATTTCAGTTGGCAATTTGTGCAGATAAATCAGCGCAGTTGTTAGTGCTGCCTTGGTATTTCCCCCACCTCCACTCCGACTCCTTTGTACCCTAAGCCAATTCAATTCCCTGAAAAGTAAGCTAAGCAATTGCTCGCATATTTGTTAAGAATAAGCATTCCAGAATTTTTCAAGTAAATTAACCTTTGCCTGGCACTCGTCCAACTCAAGAAATGAATGGGGATTTTGGGGGGATTGCCGGCAGCCGGAGGTCCCATATTTGTCATGATGTGCCATTGAAGTTGTAAATGGAATTTCCAAGTAGTGGCTAGAGTTTAGTGCTCGATGATGCTTAATAAGCAGTGCTTTTTCAAGCTTTATAGAGTCGAAATATTATGCAACGAATTCCTCTTTTATCACGTGGCCATGCTGGAGAAGTATGCCGATTGCAACGATATTTTTAATGGTTTCAATTAAGCTGAATGGCCGATTCGAGGCATTATAACAACATTAACAATAATAACAGCAACGACGTGACTTTTGTGCAAATTGTTAACGTCGGCGCTCCTCGCGACTTTGTTGTTGCTGCCCCTGCTGTTGCGCTAAATATTTTAATTAAAGAAATAATTACATTAAATGCATTTCCTACATAACACGTGGATCGCGCTGACAACGCCCACAAGCAGTTCGTATTTTTTTTTAAAACTTCATTAAGCGAATTTATTGCAGGCAGGCATCGGCAGCCATCGGACAGTTTTGCGAACAGAATGCAATTTAAATCCAACGCACACGCACCCACAAAAAAATATAAAATCGAATAAAAATGCAACAAATGAATGTGCAAGTGTCACTTTTGGGTCATCAATGAATTGCGCACCTTCGGCATTTTCCGCGTTTAATTATTTCAATAAAATCAGCATACGAAAATAATCATCAGAGAAACAAGCTTCGAACAAATTATAAGAGGGGACTCGAAATGCGGTTAACACAATTATAATTTCAATTTGCACCCTGGTACACGGCGTTGCATAATCGAGCTGAAGACTAAAGCATTGGGGTTTAACGAGTGCACGTACTGCATAGTACTGGGGAAATTATACGTATAATAAGATGGATTTTCAACTAAATTCAGAGATATGGCTTTTATTCAACTGCTGTTGCCTTGAATATATTCCCCTTAGTAAAATATTCCAGGGATCCATCTTACAAAATGGAAAAGAAGCTAGACACTCGCTTTGATTCGAGATTGTAAAAATTTTCCTATGCTTCCTTGTTGCTGCTGTTGGTATATTCTCGTTTCCATTTGCTGTGGCATATTTAATAACAGCGCATTAAGATGCGACACATTTGCAGTCAAGTCAACAAATTGCCGCCAGCAATGCCACCCCCACCACGCACCACCTCGAACCACCCGCACCACTCAACCACCGCCCCCATTTTCGCAACACCCATTTGCCTCACACTCTAAAATCTTGACGACGTGCGCGCTTTAATCTTGTTTAAAAATGCGCAGCTGTAACAACAACGACAGCGACGAGAAATGCGTGCTTGTGTGCTAAGGTGAAGCAACTGACTCGCAGTCCCAGAAAGGAAACCCCAAACAGCCGAAGATTATATACTCTATAAAGTATAGAATTTTAATTTAAATTTCTAACACTAATTTTAGCCACACAAAGGTCTTTTGTGTCCTTGCGTATGTAACATTGAATTCAAAAAAAGTCCATGATTCCTCTTTAGAAGACATCATCATTAAATAGTTCTTTTGTAAATATTATCACCATCAAATCATAAAAAGAAATCCATTAAAACTAATACATATTTTATTAAGTTTCACATAAGAGGTGCTTAAAATTCCTTAAGTATACGGAATTTCAATACAAAATTTTAATATGATCTTGAAAAATAGGTCTTTTGTAAATATTATTATCATTTAATCCTAGGAATAAATACCTGAAAAAAAATACTCGATGATTAAAATTCTTTTAAATATATAGAACTTAAATAAAAATGTTTAATATTATCTTGATTTTCAAATAGTTCATTTTTAAAAACAATTATTAACAAGTCCTAATAAAAACCATAAGAACTAACATTTATTTTAAAACATTTAAAAAATATATTTGAGCAGGGTCACTCATAACCATTTTCATCAATTGAAAGGTGTAAATAATATATTTTCCCAATTTAATTTTTGTTAAAGTTTCCTAACCATCCGAAAGAGTATTAAAAACAGAGGTATGAGAAGATGCTGTGTGGTTTTTGGTAGGCAAAATGCTGGCTGTATTTAGGCGGACGTCTTGTCAAATCTGCGCTGTGAAGCATTCTAATGAGAAGTGCTCTGCTCCAAGTTTTTCTGGCCCGCCTTCGTTACAAGGCCCCAAAAAACGAAAAAAAGAAAACAACAAAGCTGGGCTATCACAGCCACATAATCAAAGGGCGTTGGGCATGG